TCCCTACGCTTTGGGCTGCTGGATCTCGAGGCGTGCAGCTCCCGGCTAGGGTGGTGCTGGCCACCCGCCACGCCACAAGAGGCTGAGATTCCCCTGAAACCCAGAGCTGCTTTTATCTCTCACTGGCGACAGAGAAACAAACCAGGATGCTCTGCCCAGGAGGCATTTCCAGAAATTTAGGCTCTGACTTCTTGTTGATCAAATGCCAGAAAGTCCTGGGCTTCTTTGTGGTGAGGGAGTCATTGAGCAATAGGTGTTTTGTTTTGCAGATGACAAGATTTTCCGACATTGAGAAGTTTAAATGACAAATGAGAGGACCTTGACCGATTCCCTACCCCTACGAGGCAAGCTTGCTGATTTGAGCTTCTGTGCTTGGCAAATTTGTTGTTTATAACCTCTGGCTCTCCTGGGCCTCCCCCAGCCCTAACAGGCTCAGGCCCCTGGTCCCAGAGGACCTTATCTCTTCCAGTTTCAGGGCCATGCAGGCCTACCAGGGCCATGCAGGGTACATGCGGACAGCCGTGGGAAAGCGGTTTTCTAACATAGGTGTTGGCACACTCACGTTGGACGTAGGGGTTGTGTAACAGAGTGGCCGCCCCTCCTCCCATGGATATGGAAGGGAAATACTGACAGTGGAGAATATGTAACACGTCAGGGAATGGCCTGAAAAAACAGCAAAAATATTTTCTGTCTCTTTAAAAACATCCTCCACTCCTTTTTGAGAATGAAAACCTCCATCCCTGCCTCAGGCCAGTGGTTGGAGGAGCAGGGTAAGTCTTTGTTCTTTGTGCCACAGGAGAGGGCTCAGGCAGACCTGGTGCGGGAGGTCCTGGGAGGAGGTCAGAGATTGTCTTCAGTGGAGCTGGGACGATCAGAATCATCACTGTAGCTGAACAGCAATCGCCTGAAGCTGAGAACCCATCCTTTAAAAGCTCTGCATTTCTGCTTATTATTAGGACTATGGCGTTTTTCACACAAAAGTCTCCATCCTCCTCCTTTGCTGGAATAGTAATAAACTTCTCTTTCCTTCTCCTCAAACCACTTATTCTCGTTCTTCTGATGTGGCCTCGAGGACAAGTGCCGAGTTTTCAGTAACAGCTGGCATGGGCTGTCAGACTATATTTGTAAATAAAGTTTTATTGGGACTCAGCCAGGCTCATTTGTATTGTCTCTGGTTGCTTTGGCACCAGAGTTGAGTAGTTGCCACAGAGACCAAGTGGCCCACAAAGTATAAAATATTTACTAATTTGGCACTTTAAGAAAATGAATGCTGACCCCCTGCTTGGAGGGAACAGGAGTCTGCCTTATGCCAGGGAGGGCTGGGGTTGGTCTTGGTTTTGGGGGGAAGGGTAACAGGGACTGGAAGAGACCAGAGTAACAGCTTAGCAGGGAGAGTGTAACTCGGGAAGAATGAAGGCAGGAAAAGGGCTGGGGGCCTGTGGGGAGACCTAGGGCTCAGGTATGCCAGCCCCCAAAGGTGGGCTGAGTTTCCAGGCTTGCAAACTGATAGGAAACAGCAGGTCAGAAAACACCCAGGAGGCCAAGCAGCCCTTCCCTGTACCCTTGGTGGGAAAGCACAAACTGGGCGGCCCCTCCTCCTGCTGGGAGGACATGTGTGCCTTCCCCGCTCCAGTGCTGGGGCCGGGCCCTCTTCAGGACACTCCGAGCACAAGAGGTTCCATGGGCTCACATTCTGGTAGGGAAAGGGAGGCAAAAAATACAACAATAAACCAGTAAATACAATTAGATCACAGTAAGGAATAGGAAGAAGATAAAATCCTGTTATTCAGATTGGGGAGATGTTTCCAAGGGAGGCGATATTTGGACAGAGCCCGGAAGAGTGACAGGAGCTAGGGGAAGAGACCTGAGCAGAGGACGAGCACAGGTAATGACCCTGAGGAGGATAAGCGTTGCAAGAAGGCCAGGCCGGTGAGGCTGGATGCAGTGACCGAGGGAAGAATGGAGGGAGAGGCAGGCGGCAGCCCCATCCTTAGTACTGAGCCACATTCCCTTTTTTTTTTTTTTTTTTTTTGAGACAGAGTCTCACTCTGTTGCCCTGGCTAGAGTGAGTGCCGTGGCATCAGCCTAGCTCACAGCAACCTCACACTCCTGGGCTCAAGCAATCCTTCTGCCTCAGCCTCCTGAGTAGCTGGGACTACAGGCATGCGCCACCATGTCTGGCTAATTTTTTCTATATAGATATATTTTTAGTTGTCTAGATCATTTCTTTCTATTTTTTTTTAGTAGAGACAGGGTCTCGCTCTTGCTCAGGCTGGTCTCGAACTCCTGACCTTGAGTGATCCACCCGCCTCGGCCTCCCAGAGTGCTAGGACTACAGGCGTGAGCCACCGCGCCCGGCCCACATTCCCTTTTTAACACAAGCGTTTGCGCCTCAGAAACAGCCGATCAGCCCCTGTGTCACCCCCCTGTCACACACACAGGAGGGTTTCTCATCCCTGGAGGCAGAAGGTGGGCTGGCCGGTTTCTGCCTCCCTCTTAACTTTGCTCACAGCCTTGCGCTGGGGAAAGACCCCTCTCACAGAGCAACCTTGAGGAGGAGGGGCCTTCCTCTTGCATTGGCGTGATTGTCGGTTCAGAGCGTGAATCACAGACAGTGAGGCATGGGTCCTTGGCTCAGGATTTCCTGGTGCTTCCTGCCAGGGAGAACAGCCCCGCTCTCAGGGGCAGCGGCCCTCCACTCCCTGACGTCAACTCTCCTTCCAATGAATGGGTTTCCTTTTCCGCTTGGGAAGACATGGGATCTGCCATCAGCCCCATCAACCCTGTCTTTCTAACCCTGGCACCTCCTGTCTGGGAAGGAGCGAGTGGGACTAACGAGAAGCAGTGGGTGAGGGCAGGAGGGCGAGGGGGACTGAGAGGACAGATGCCTTCTCACCATCAAGGAGTGAATGAGAAACCCCATCAGCAGTAGTGTCTGTCCCAGGTTTTGAGCTCTCCAAGTAGCTTTGGGGCACACAGAATGCTCTCAGACAGGCTCTCTGGGCCAACTGTGTCCTCTGGAAGGGTCTTTTCTCCTCTACTTGTTCTCAGTAACTAGCCTAGATGAGACTCCCTGGCAGAAAGAGTGCATATGCTGTCATCATGTAAGTGTAACTATTTAAAAATTGCTTAATCTCTGAGAACCATTATTTAGAATTTTTGCAACTTCTAAATGTACTTGTTCTGAGGCAAAGTTGTGGTTGCCTCACTTTGGTTATAGCTCTGTCTGTTTCAAACTAGCCATGAAAGCCAGAGGCTCTCGGTGTGTGGTTTCAGAAGAGACTGGGTCGTTCCCTGCTGTTTATCCTTAATGTAATTTTAATGTATTAACTTACCATGCTATCAATATTGACATCTTTTTTTCAGGTTGGAAATTCCCAGTGAGATGGTACTATGGTTGTTTGTCTCCCTTAATACCTCACACAGCAAAGCACCATAGGCAAAAAGATGTTGAGAGCTCTTTTTAGGATGACCGGGACGCCCCCGTGGTCTGCGTGGCACTCACCACTAAGCATGACGGTGGAGCCATTCAGCCAATGTTTACTCTGCAACTACCACATGCCAGGCACTATGCAAAAGCAGAACTATGCAATGGATGGTCTCATTCTAGTTACTGGAAGTTAGGACATTTGATGATTCACCATTTCTAACTTGGAAGAGTTGAATCAAATTCCACCTAGTATATGTAAAGCTATCTAAACTTAAAACAAAAGTTCAAATCAATCTGAAATACTCATTGATTGTAAACAATTTGGAAACTCCTGATTAGCACCAAATAACCAACATTTTGGTGTATTTGCTTTCAGTCTGTCTGTATGCATGCTCACATGCTCTCCCTCCCCCCACCCTTTCTAATTTTTAACAAAATGAGAGCGTCTCTATACTACTCTTTGGTAATTTGGTTTTTACACTTAATGTCATTAAATATTCTTCTAGAACATTGTTTTTTATGAATATATGGTCTTCCAATGTACTGATGTACCATTATTTACTTAACTAACTCCCCCGCCGTAGATTGTTTCCACACTTTTGATATCAGGAACAATGTCGAGATGAACATTCCGTGGGAATGTGTAATTTAATTTCCTTGGGGTAATTCCGTGGGAGCAGAATTCGGAATGCTGTTTTCAGGGTGTCCATATCATTTTAACCTCAGGACACCCCCCTGGGATAAGTAGGATATGATTGTGTCCTGCAGTTTTCCCAGTTTCTAGGTCCTAGGCCACGTGGGCCAGCCAGGGAGCCGCATCTTACAGATCAGAACTCATCTCTTCTGCCTTTCATGATACTGCAAGGTTTTCCTTTTTAAAATTAGCTTCAAAAAGTGTTCTTGGCATATAGGGATGTGCTCCTTCACCTTCAGAGCATAGAATTGTGCATTTCCAGGGGCTGGTGACACCTGTGTCTTTGGGCACATAAGGAGGATGGAGGACTTTTCATTCATCTCACATAGATTTGTAGGGGCTGCTCTGTGCCATGCAGCTGCAGGCGCTGGGAATAACAAGGTGAAAACTTGTTTCCCACTCAGTCTGGTGGGGATTTTCCATGGTTCTGAGCACCTTGGTGCATGAGCGTTAACCAAGTTACAAGACTTTGTTCAGGTCTAACTAACACCTTAGGAGTGTCGTACAAGTCTAACACCCTGCCAAGTCCAGCCTGAAATAGATAATGGTCCTGAAAAGCAATCCCACCACTGGGAGGGCAATTTTGACAGCTGGTGGGGGCGGGGGCCGTAGCGTGAGTGCAAGGCATCCTTTGCTCCAGGACCTGTGACGATGGAGCGCAGGTGTGCGGGCCACCTCGTACACCTGTGCACACCTCCCTGCAGGTTTAACCGGCGGGCTTTCGACCACCCTCCTGCGGAGAGACCACTGCTTGGTCTGTGTGCCCCAGGGGGGAAACTGAGGCTTGTGGGAGCCGTACCGGACCGCCCTCCCCCGCGGCCGGGGCTCCCGCGCCTGCGTGCTGCCGCCGTGTTCGCGCTCTCTGTTGTCAATAAAGTTCTAGCGTGCCGGAAGCGGAAGCGGAAGCCGCGAGTCTCCATGGCGGCAGTGGCAGCGGCGGCGGGGCCGGTGTTCTGGAGGCGACTGCTGGGCCTCCTGCCTGGCCGCCCGGGGCTGGCCGCGCTCCTGGGGCGTTTGTCCGACCGCCTCGGCAGGAACCAGGACCGCCGGCGCAGGAGGTGAGAGAGGCGGCCGGCCTGAGAGCCTGGCCCCCGCCGCTGCGGCCCGGCCCCCCGGCGCCCCCGGCCCGGCGCCCCGGGCATCCACAGCGAGCCCCTCCCAGTGTCCCCAGGCCCTTTTCTGCTGCCCAGGGCTCAGCGCCTGGCTTCCCTGCTTCTCCACTGGCCTTGAGGAAGGGTGGGCGGGCGACCCGTGCGCCCCTGTCAGCCGGGCCCAGCCCAGTGGGCCTCCTGCGCAGCCCGGCCAGTCCTTGCTTCCCCCTCTCTACCGTGCTTGGTGGCGAGTCCCGGCCTCTGTCCACTCACACTTTGGAGGAGGAACTGTGTGTGCCTTAGGGAGCTTCGGTCAAGCTCTGGAGGCTAAATTTATATCTCGGTTGGGCCCTAGCATGTGAATGTTGGAGAGCCTTGTCACGAGGGCCACTGTTTAGGTTCAGAGGGGTCTTTCCCTTAAGTAATCCTGGCCGTGAGGTGACTTGGCGGGAGTGAATCAGCCCTGCTGGGATTTTGTGTGTGCAGCGTTTCTCACATCCTGCCAGAGAGAGCTGTGATGCAATCCTTGGTCAGTAACACTCAGCCATGGGAAGAGGAACCACTTGAAACCCTTTTTACACTTTTTAAAGTGCCTGTGTTCTGGAAAAGTACTGAAGTGAGTTATGTAAATGGTGAAGTAGGCTTTGGAGCAATTCGTTCAGGCAGTGGTCTTGAAAAGTCAACATTGACCAAGAACATGCTGACCTCAGAGGCCTCCTACTATTGCTAATATTAAAAAAAGAGGAAAAAATAATTCTGTGCAAATAGTTTTATCATTAGAGAGATTTGAGCCTTACTCTTGATCCTTAAAAAACAAACAAACAAACCAACAAACAAACCTTAGAACTGTCTCCTTCAGTTGTGCTTGTGTTGTCTTAGATTTTGTCCTTGCTCCTTGGGTGAGATTTGGACTCCTTGCCTTAGTACAGAGATCTGGAATCCAGTTGTGTGCTGAGCTGTGGTGGAAGCTTTTCAGCAAAAACTTAAGTTTGATTTAGGGGAACTTTTAGGTGATAGATTCAGGGCAGGATGAAACTCTTGGAAGCCCGCTGATGAGAATGGCTCTAAGTTTCACATTGGCGAACCCGGTGGGAGTGGGGGTGTAGAACAGGTGGCCTTTCTATTTTCTGTATTTCATTTTTATTTTTTTGGTACTTAGCAAAAGACCTGTTCGTTTCAATGGGTAGCGAAGTCAGATGACTTCTACATCCTGGCATCAAACCACTGAGATTTCGTTTAAAGTTTCAAAAAACGTTCTACCCTCAAAGACAGGATGTTTAGGTGACTTTGTCATTTCCCTCTGTGTTTAAACTATATGAAAAACATTTCATTATTAATCATTTTTAACATTAGAATTGATTACTAAACAATGTTGGGGCAATCTCCACAAATTCTTTTGAAAAAGGCATTTCTCATGACTGTGCCTTTTTTAAAATTTTTTTTAAAATTTCAGGATATTATGGAGGTACAAACATTTTGGTTACAAGTAATGACTTTGCCTCACCCAAGCCAGGGCTACAAGCGTGCCCTTCCCCCATACCGTGCGCACCTGTATCCATTACTTGTGAGTTTACCCACCCCCACCTGACTGACACCCAATGAATATTACTACCATGTGAGCACCTTAGTGTTGATCAGTTAGTACCAATTTGATGGCGAGTACATGTGGTGCTTATTTTCCCATTCTTGTGATACTTCACTTAGAAGGATGGGCCCAAGCTCTATCCAGAATAATATAAGAGGTGCTAGAGCACCATTGTTTTTTGTAATTGAGTAGTATTCCATAGTATACATATACCACATTTTACTAATCCATTCATGGATCGAAGGGCACTTGGGTTGTTTCCACATCTTTGCAATTGTGAATTGTGCTGCCATAAATATTCGAGTACAGATGCCTATGATTGCCTTTTTTATTGATTGTGGGAGGGGCAGTGGGGATAGTCTAAATTGATTTCCCAAAATCTTTTTTTGTAAGTAATACCAATGGATGTAGTTTGTGTGGCTCCCTATTTCTTCTTCATTATGCTGAGAGGGATAGTTGTTTCTCTGGGTCAACACTTCAACCAGAAGCTCAGTTTCTTGGGCATTAAAGTCAGAAGTTCTTTTCTCTTAAAATTTTTATTTATTTATTTATTTTAGGCTGGTCAAGTGAAACAGTGGGAGTGGAGAAAGAACAAAGGAATCTGTAACTGGTTGTGATTAATTAGTTGTAAACACCACTGCACTTGGACCAGCCCAGAAGTTCTTGTTTTATAATTCTTGGAAGTAATGCTTATGCTAGGACTCAGGATAAATGCTTTCATGAGTATTGAGTGATACTGTAAGTTTCTGAGCCTCTCTTTGCCTTATTCGGTTTGCAGATTTTTTCTGAATCTTTGTAGCCTTGGTGTTCAGAGTTATTCATGTCTGCTGTGGCTACTCACCCTTTATTGGCTGCTGACTTTCGTTTCTTCTCCATTGTTTAGTTGCACCTCCCAATTCCTCATTCCCCGAATGATGTGGTTTCTTGTAACTCACTGATCATTGATTCATTGCTAGTAGTCTGTGTAGTCATGTGCTTAAATTATTTTAGATTTTAGCTTGTCAGTCTGACTCAGTTGTTGGAGGGGCTGGTAAATCTTCGTGGCTAGCAAAAGGAACATTTCTTTTACTGCTGCTGTTTCCTTTCAGGCATAGAGACGGCTATAAAGACAGAGAACTTAAAATTACTGCTAATTAATGATTTAGAAGTACTGTTGTTTCCTCTTAAGCAAGCATCTGACTCATTATCATTAGGGATGCTGGATCCATTCATTTATCATGTGTGTATAGAGCACTGCTGTGCTGTGCTAGGTACTGAGGAAGCAAAGATAAAGACAGGCCCGCCTCCAAGATGCTCGGACCCATAAACAGACAACTACAGGAAAGTAGGTAGAAGGTCATGGCAGTACCTAGGAGAGGCACCTGGAGGTCATAGAAGGCTTCCTGAGGGCAGTCCCTGTAAGCTGTTTTGAAGGAGGGTAGGAGTAGGCTGGGTGAAGAAGAGGGGGAGCAGATGTTCGAGGAACGATAGCAAGTGATGGAAGGCAATTCTGATGTCCCCCTGGTACTGAAACCATTTCTAGGAGCTGACTGGGGATACCAAGTAGGGAGGAAGGAAGGGAGAGAGGAGTTAGGAGCATGTCAGTCTTCTGGGCCAGAGACCCAGGAAGGCAGGCTCTGAGAGTCCATGTATGAATTCTTTTTTTTTTTTTTTTTTTGAGACAGTCTCACTCTTTTGCCTGGGCTAGAGTGAGTGCCATGGCGTCAGCCTAGCTCACAGCAACCTCACACTCCTGGGCTCAAGCGATCCTTCTGCCTCAGCCTCCTGAGTAGCTGGGACTACAGGCATGTGCCACCATGCCCGGCTAATTTTTTCTATATATTTTTAGTTGGCCAATTAATTTATTTTCTATTTTTAGTAGAGACGGGGGTCTCGCTCTTGCTCAGGCTGGTTTCGAACTCCTGAGCTCAAACAATCCGCCCGCCTCGGCCTCCCAGAGTGCTAGGATTACAGGCGTGAGCCACCGCGCCCGGCCCCATGTATGAATTCTTTTGATAACGGTTCAGGCCTGAAATGAGGGGGTGTGTATGAGATCGGGACAGTGGGAGCAGAAAAGAGGGCTGGATTCGAATCAGTCCTGATAGGGTGCATGGAGGTTGGAACACTGCGCTGAAACAGGGAGAAGGAAGAGGAGCAGGTTTGGGGATGATGATAAGGTGTACTTGGGCCTGTTAGTTAGTATCCGGGTCCCTCCAGGTGGAGGTGTTCAGTGTCCGGGTGACTGTGACAGAGCTGGAGCTCAGGAGAAGGGAACAGATGCTTCAGATAGAGTTTTTTGGAGTGATGGGGCTACGCAGAATGGACTGGTTATTTGGAATAGGCGAGACCTAGTGAGAATGCATTAATAGGGTGTTAGTCCCTGATCTTGAATTTGCCTGCCATGAAAGGAAATATTTTGTCTGTGGCCTATTTTTTTTTTCTTTTTAAACTATTTTCAGTTTGAGTTGTATGTGCCTAATAGTCTTTATTTTTCAAACTTAAGCCCCATTTTTTCTATTCTAGGTGCTTGAGTGTGTGTGTGTGTTGGAGGCGGTAGGGGTTCCTAACTTTCTTGTGTTAGAAACAGGTAACTAGCAGACTGTTCTTTTCATTAGATTTTCTTACATTGTACTGGCAGGTCAGTTCAACTTGTAAGTAGTTACTACTCTGAGGGACCAACAGATTTCTGGAAGTTACTTTTTCTTTGAACTTTCTAATGTTGGGATCCAGTCTTTCTTACTCCTTAGAGTTCAGGACAGCCATCTCTTGGTTTATTTATAACAATATAATGGGGCGGGAGGTGGATATTAGAATCAAAGCGTAATTTTTCTAGATAATTTACATTTGATCTTGTGGTGAATTGAAACATTTACAACTGACTGACTTTCCCAACTGTAGCCTTATTAATATTAACAAGTGTCCCTGAGCACATTGTAGCTGGTGATGATGGTGAACAGTCAGTTGTGTGCCAGTAGGCAAATGGAAACCAGCCTGGGATTAAAATGTTCTGATAGGTAATCCTCTTGTAAATAGTGTTTTCTGATTAATGTAAACGAGTTGATTTCAGGGTTGTTAGGAGTCTGGCTGGCTGAAGCTGTTTGGACTAGTAGAACATGTGATTGGTTCTCCTCAGGCGCTTTGATGTGTCTAGTGCATTTGGCTACCCTAGGTGTATTATGGGTTGTAAATATATTTTAGATTTCTGGCCCCCAGTGTAATCAACTTCCTTTTGGCTAAGCCGAGAGGAGAGGAGAGTCATCTGGCAGCTTGTACGCGAAGGCTGGAAGCCCTGGCCCCTCGTGCTGGACTTGTGGGAGTTCAGCAGGCCGTTGGTCTTTTGTAACCTCCGGGAATCCACACTCATTTCCCATCCTCGGGTTTAGGTCTTGCATTAGTCAGGAAGGGCCGCCTGCTGCCAGGGTTGCAGGAAGTACGGTACCTTCACGTAGTTTCTGGAGCCTTTCTCAGGAAGTGTTATGACTGTTGCTCTTTTCTCATCAGTTCACTTTTTTACATCTAAATTTGTATGAATGAGGGGTAGGGTGGGTTTTTCTGAAAAAGTAGTTTCTGAAGATATTGCAATCCAGAAAGCTCAGTTTCTTTTAAAAACACCTTTCTTTTTTCATCATTTTGTACAGATTTGGATGGGATCCAGACCACAGAGTCTGTACCGTGAATCTTATCTTACAATTTCAGAAGGGCTCCCGGACCTTTAGACCCATCTCCCAGCCCACGGTGAGGGCCGCCGAGTTAACGCCCTGTGCTGGGTGCCCTGTCCGTGGTGCCGTTGCGGCTAGTCCGAAGACAGACTTTCAGCTTTACCATATTCTTTGTTCAAAGCCTCACACACCCTATTTTGATCAAACCCTAAGATGTTGGCCTACTACTTATGTCCCATTGGTAGTGGGTGACATTAGGTACTGCAGCTCCAGGGGAAGCAGATGTGTGTTCTCTGACACCTGGAGAGGATGTGGAAGGATCTTCTACAGGTGAAGCGTAGACAAAGGTACAATTCTCTAGTGCTTGCAGGAGCTGGGTTGACCTCCAGGCACACTGTTGCATATCCAGAGGAGACAGGTGAGCTGTGTCAGTGTTTTTCCATGAAGCACTTGCCGATTCAAAGTGTTTGGTGAAACGGAAAACTCCCGTCTCCCCACAAAAGGGAGAAATGCCTTCTCTTATTTTCCCCAAGGCTTCTTGTGTAAGTAGGTGTGTTCCATAGCCTCTTAGGTGCTGTGCACTCGCACTATTTCACTTTGGCTGATTATTCTGAGCTAAAGTCCCACTGAGGTCCTGTGCTTCTCATTGAGGGGGTGTGTGTGCAGGTGGGCCGGGCTGGCTTCCGCTGCCCTCACTGGGTGGTTGCCCCAGTCCTCCTCGAGATGGTGGGAAGAAACTCCCCGCCCCCCACCCGCCCTCCTCCTTCATACTCACTGCACCCACTTGCTCAGCTTCCCCCTCTTGGTGGTGGAGGCCCTCAGGTCGGAGATGCCTGCAGGGCAGCAAGGGGTCAGGAGTGCTTAAGCCAAGCCCACTCCCCAGTTCAGGGAATTTGTCTGCAAATTCCACGGGAAGCCTTAAATCATACGACTGAACCTTTGCCCGGTGTCTAGTGTCCTGTGGGCGGTAGCTGGAGCTGGGCTGAATCTGAGAGGATGCTGGTCCCATTTCACCTTTAGGGTTGCAGGCTGTGCATTGTTTTGCACTGTTTGTTCGTTTGTTTTGGTTATTGCTGAGGTTTGTACGGTAAAGTAGTACAGCTTGTCAGGTTTTGAATCCCGAGGCACCGGTGCCATGGGGGAGCATGCACCCTTGCCGTGGCCCTGTTCTCTAAACTTCCCCAGTATTCTCGAGTAAAGGATGGAGCCTTCAGAGAAGCAGGGTTGGCAGAGCCTTATCATCGGACTTCCCATCCCTCACCACTTCCTCCTTCCTCTAACTAGAACTGGGAACTAGATGCTATCTAGAAAGAGGCGATTCAGGGGAGCCCGGGTCTCGATGTGGAAATTGTGTGTGTGTACTGGTTTAGTTCTCCAAATGCTGCATGTGACACACAGCTAGGCTTCTTGGGTAAAGTAACCACAGCCTCGCTGTCTCCCCAAATCACATGGGGCTTAATTTCTTGACTGAGACAAGTCAAGAAATTTCTTAGTAAACCCCGCCCCCCCGGTGTGCGGGGGAACTACCTTTGCAGGTGGTGGGCCCCTGGAGGTGGAATTATCGTGCAGCAGGGATAAACCTTTTCTGAGAAAATTCCCAGGAGTTACGTTGTGGAAAGCCAGGAACTAACCCCCATGGGGTTCCGGCTGATGTGGAAGGAAGAAAATGGGCCCCTGAGCAGGCTCTGGAGGAGTCGGCAGTGCAGGTTTAGAGCGGGATGGGCTCGCTCTGCCCTGCCGATGTGCTTCAGCTGGATTTTGAGTGTCACCAGTGCAGACGTGGTCTCCTCGGCACGTGCGGTAATCGTGGGGACCTTTATAAAACTCTTTACTTCTTTTCCAACCACCTTCCTTTTTAGATATGTAAAATTGTCACTTGAAGGTTGGGTCTTCACAACAAATCCGTGAAACCTAATTGGCTTTCAGCTCCTTCTCTTCTCTAACAAAAATAAACCTGTCAGTACACAGATTAAGCGGGAAGCCAACATAAAAAAGCCTTCAGTAACTCTTGGATGGAGGCCCTGGTGGAACATTCCCAGGGAGAGCTGCCTGGTAGGGAAGAGACCTGCTAGGGAGCCGCAGGGCGCTGGGGCTCATCCAGCCTGGTGCCTGCCAGAGTGGCTCCCTCTCAGGCCGGACAGATGTGGTGGGTGGACCCTGACGCCTGCGTAGACTGTGTGTGTGTGTGTGTGTGTGTGTGCATGTGTGTTGTGTGCTCTCAGGGCTATTGAGGCCTTCTGAGGTTTTTTCTTGGTTTTTGCTAGTTCCTCTTCTGTTTGCTCATACCTCTCCTTGCCCAGAGCATCCCCCTTTCTGCATTTCCTGTTTGAATTCCACAGATTATTCAAGGCCCATTCAAGGTAGGCTGCTGTAAAACCTCCCCGGTGGCCCAGGCATCCCCACCTCCCTTTTGGATCACTTTTAGCATATGCACTGGACATTTTGGCCTTGATTTAATTAACTTTGGCATTGCCTCTTGTGGTGTTCTTAGAGCATTTCAGATGAGTAGGTCTGTGAGGCTACCAAGGTTGTGGGAGGCAGAGAATATGCCTGGTTCTTCATTTGTACCCTCCAAGGTACGTAATAGGTGCTCAGGTGATAACTTGAATTGAGGCTTAAGTTGACACTTGCCCTCCTCTGGGTTGCTGTGCCAAGGAGGGTTTCCTCATCTTTTCGGCAGCTAGATTGTGTCTCCAGGCTCCTAGGAAGGCCACTGCAGGACTGCCCATGTGGTCTGGAGCGGTGCAGGCAGTGCCCTGCTTCTGGTGTGGTCTGAGGGATGGCAGCAGTGCTGTGAGGCAGGACAGATGTTGCTCTTACCCTGTTGTCGGCCTTCCCTGACAAACAGACTGTGTTTCACTGGTGAATATTAGACGTTAGGCCCCTTTGGGGCTTCAGACAGGTTGCTGTGCACCCTTCCCGTGTCCCATGGTTTTCCGGTGGACTGAAGGATCCTTCCTTCTCTGTGGCCCATGGTTTGGGAAATCCCTTGTACACACATCTAGGCCTTTAGTTTGCAAGCCTGTGCCCATGAGTGGCATCACCCCCTCTAGAGACAGTGGGGGAGAGCAGCTGCTTCCCCAACTCTGCTCTGGAGGGCCGGGGCCAGTTTCAGACTTGCAGGTTCCAGAGAGCCGGCACCTTCTGCTGTTGACTAGTTTTCTTGGCAGTGAATCGCCATGACAGGCCGGTGGGCTTTCTGGGAAGCACAGCTGTGGGCCATCTGGCGTCTGTGCAGGGACATTTATGAACCCTGGGAAGATTCAGTGCTTTATCATGAAGCAAGCGAGTGAAATCATCTTCCTGGAATTTGTGGCCATTCAGGCTGTGGGGTATTTGAGCATCTTCTCCCTCAGAGTCCCTCTTAATGTTACGCATCGAAGAGGATTTTCCTGCTGCTGTTTGCAGGACTGGAATTCAAAGTTGGGTCGGGTCTGCTTGGGCTCTGGGTGTTCAGTCCCTCTGGCCCGTGCCCCGCAGATGTCTCAGTCACCGAGCAGCAGAGACCTGGCTTGTGGGCAGAGCCTCATCTCGTCCAGGCTCAGCCTCAGTGGAGTGCGGACTCTGCCAGGGCTGAGCTTTGTGTGGTCAAGCTAGTGCCAGTCAGAGATGGGGTGTGGCCCCCGAAAGGATGTGTCTGATGGTAAAGGGGCACTTCTCGCCATCTCTCTGGAGATGAGCTCCTTTTCTCCAGCCTCTCCTGTTCCAGCTTTTCTCTCCAAATCTGAGCTTTAAGGAGAAAAAATTATTTTTCTGGGTCCTTCTTTGAATAGAAACCCTGTTTATCCCAGGAATCATACAACTAGGGGTCTGGGTTGTGATTTCAGACTTCTACCAGACTTACCCTTGTTCCAATTGGTTCCTTCCTTCCTTCCTTCCTTTTTTTCTTTCTTTTCTTTCTTTCTTTCCTGTCTCACTCCGTCGCCCAGGCTGGAGTGCAGTGGTGTCAGCCTAGCTCACAGCAACCTCAAACTCGTGGGCTCAAGTGATCCTCCTGCCTCAGCCTCCCAAGTAGCTGGGACTACAGGTGCTACCACGCCCAGCTGATTTTTCTGTGGATATCTTTCAGTGCTGTCTGCACACAAATGTTTTTGAGTTGGATTTGTTAGGAGGTGGCAGTGTTAACCGTGTGGTGGCTTTTGTGAGTTGACTTGTGGCTTCTCTAAATTTGGTCCCTGAGTTGTTTGGAATCAACTTAAAGTTTGGGGTTTATTAGAAGGCTAGTACGAGGAAGAAGGGCTGAAGGAAAAACCCTTTTGCAGAGCTTAACTTGGGCTCACTTTAAAAAATCTGAAAGTAGCCAAAAAACCAACCCACCTCCAACCCCCACCCCCCAGCCCCGGACCTGAGAGTGGCATCTGCAGAAGTATTTGAGGAGTGTAACCCATTCGCATGTTTCTTTAACCAGGTCACCATGGCTGCTATTGGCTCCCTTGCTGTCTCCAGCTGTTCCCCAGGTCACCTCCCCACCTTGCTGCCTGTGTCCAGAGGGCGTGCACAGGTTCCAGTGGATCAGAAACCTGGTTCCAGAGTTCGGAGTCTCCAGTTCTCATGTCAGGGTGCTTTCTTCCCCAGCAGAGTTTTTCGAGCTCATGAAGGTAAGTAAGTTGTGTCTAAAGGAAAAAAGTCTGAGTTAGAAGTTTTTTTTTTTGTTTTTTTTTT